GCCCGATGTGGGACTCGATCCCAGGACCCTGGGATCCTGACCTGAGCCGAAGGCAGACGCTTAACGACTGAGCCACCCAGGCGCCCCAAATTTTATTTCTATTTAACAATTTAACAATTTTTTTTGTCTTCAACCACCTAGAAGGTTGTGGTCTCCATTTTACAACTAAGGCCCTCTGGCCTGGAGCACCAAGACCTCCCTGGCAAGGGACTGTCTACCATGCAGCCTTAGTCACCGTCAAGCTGCATTCAGTTAATACATGTGCTGCGAGAACCTCGAGTCCCCTGATTGTTTCCTTCTGCTCCCCAACCTCAGGTGTCACCCAAGTACCGAGTCTGGTCTTCTGGAGCTTCAATGGGCTCCTCCTGGTGGTTGACACAACCGGAAAACCTAACTTCATCTCCCGCTACCGAATTCAGGTTGGCAAGAATGAACCAGTAAGTGTTGCGGTGGCTTCTCCTGGGCAAAGCACAGAAGGCAAGAGCGGAAGCCACACTCACAATGCTCACCGCAGGCCCAGGAGAGAGCGTGGCCACCGGGAGCCAAGTTACTGGGTACAAGGCTCCCCTGGCTGAGAAGGTTGGAGAGAGGAAATAATCTGCCCCAGATCTCAGAGCCAGCCAGGCAGGACAAATGTTCTGGTCTTCTGATTCCCAGCCCTGGCCCTGTGTCTGTCTGTGCCACCCCACAGCACTGCGGTCAGCTTTTGGGGAACCGAAATGATGGGCTCAGCCACCAGGGTAGGGACGGCAATGGCTGGATGCCGAAAGCACGATGACATGGTGGCTGGCCCACTGTGGATACAGGGGTCTGAATGTGTGGGCGGTGGCTGCTTTTTAAGCAGGTCCTCCTTCCAAGTCATTCACTTCAACTGCCGGTGCGTAGCTTAGCCCCACGAAACAAGGCCTGCACCCTGCTTACAAGCAACTCCTAGCCCAGTAGGGGAGAGAAGGCCAGTACACACGTCTTCGACTTACACAGCGCTGGAAGGGAGCCGCACTGTGCTCTGAGCCCAGTCATCTGCTTGGTGCTCTGACAACCTCCAAGAGCCTTTTCTTATGCAAGAAGTTCATTCTTAACCCCAGATTCTTTCCCCAGCTCCACTCAAACCACATTCTGGCTTCTTTCCCAGAGAAGACAATCATCTTTAATTATCGGTCCGGGTGCCTAGGTAGCTCATCTCAGCATCAGGGCATTCTGCCCCAGCCCGGCACTGCAGAAACAGAATGGGTGAAAAATAATGCCCTTGACCCAGGCTTTCGTAATAGCCCCTTCTTGAACCAGGGCTGCTGGCCAGGCTCAAGGCCCCGCTCACCTGAGACAGTAACTGCCAGCCAGCCAGGGGGGCTTCCTCCAGGTCCAGCTTGGCAGGCATGGACTGGGGCTGACGTGTCAAAGCCAACACTTGACTGTTGAGAGCCCTTCATCTGTCAGACCATGGCGGTCTCCTTATCAGACCCCATGGAGTAAATGCTCAAGGCCAGGTACTGTCATAACCTTCATGGTTCAGATGAGGAAACAGGCTCTGAGGTGTGACATGGGTAGATGATTCATGCTCCAGCTCTCTGACCCCGGGGCTCATGCTCTCACCAGCAGGCCACATCAGCTCTCAAGAGTATCACCTACCATGACAACATTCACTGTGACAGCCTACAGTGGTTGGAGAGCCACACAGGGAAGGTCTGGTTGCATGTTGTAGAAGCTGAGGTTCCGAAAGGAGCAGTGACTAGCTCAAAGTCCGAGTGTCACTAGGACGCAGAGCCAGGGCTCCTCTCGTCGGACTCCAGGTCCAGTGCTCCTACAGCGTGGGCCCCCGCAGGCCCCCAGCCCCCTGCCCTGTTTGCTCTCCCGCTCTCCTGGATAGCCAATTTGCACCTTCTCCTCCTTCCTCACATCCCCAACACCTCCTTCCCTGACCTGCAGGAAGTCTCGCTTCCTCCTTCACTAAGGAAATGGGCAAGCAGAAGAGAGATCCCACAGACTCTCCACATCAGCCTGCGAGCAGTACTTGTAACCAGGCTCTAGGAAAGAGTTGTCTGTACAGTTTCCAACTCCTCTCTGTCCACGCTTTTCTCCCAACATTTTGTAATTATGAAAAATTGTAAACATAGATACAGAAGTTGAAAAAAAGGAGTATATGATCACTCATTCATGCACCGCCTAGATTCACTTTTAAACATTTTACAGTATTTGCATTATCTAGATGTAAAAATACAAATACGTATGCATCTATAATTTTTAGCTTACCCATTTGAAAGTAAGTTCCAAACATTACAAACCTCACCCTCAATCCCTCAGCCGGTATATCCCCAATAACCACAAACCCATCATCTCACCTCTTCTGTGAACCTCCTCCCGTCAGGCCTTCACCCCCACTGCTCCACCCCCACTGCTCTCAAAGGCTCCTCTCCTTAGCCCTAGCAGGCACGTCTTCACAGCTGCATGTCTCCACATTCTCGCTATATATTCTCCTACCTGGCTTCTCCACTTCTCCTATCTCGGTGGCCGCTCCTTCACAATCTTCCTTCTGGTCTCTCCTCTTCTCCACCGCCTCTTAATGCTAAGCTTCCCAGGGTTCAGGCCTTGCTCCCCACCTTTGTCTTCACTCCCGCACTTCTCTCTTCCAGGGTTGTGACTTGCAATATAATCTCTATGCCGACGGCTCACAAATTCCTGTTTCTAGTCCAGAACTCTCTTCTGAATTCCAGGCTCAGATTGCCAAAGGCCTCTTTGCCGACCCCCATCCAACATGTCCCCAAAAGAATTTCTGTTCATCCCCTCAAAGACTGCCACCCACAACCTCCCCAGTTTGAGTTCATGGCAGGGCTGCCCTTCACTACCTCCACTGGTCTGAGCTGTCATTCTCTTCTGTCTATAGGACCACAATTCTGTGTTTATTCTTGCCTCCTCCACAGTCTGTGGTCAACAGAGTGGCCAGAGTAATCCTGTAAGAGTTTGTCACTTCTCTGCTCACCATGACCCCCCATTTCCCTTGGAGTAAAAGCCAGTCTTCCCAGTGATCTACAAGCCCTCTATGTTCTTGCTCCTCCCCACCATTTTGGCCTCACCTCCTACTTCTCGCACTCCTCTCCAGTCAAGGATGCCTGCAATGGGCCAAGAGCCTTTTCACCAGCTGTGCCCTTCACCTGAAGACTCTCTCCCCCCAGGTATCTTTTCCCTCACCATCCCCATCTCTTTGTTCAACAAAGCTCACCCTGACCATTCTATTTAAGATTGTTGGTGCCAGGAATAGAAATTCAATGAGGGAAGGAATCTTTTTTTGCTCATTGCTTGCTTCCCAGCACACAGGACACTGCCTGCAATGTAGAGGGTGCTCAAGAAATATCAGCTGAATAAATGAAGGAGTAAACATGTGATGCCCTCCTCTCGGCCAAGATTTCCAGAAGAGGTGTATGGCTTCATCTACAGGTGCTCTCGAACCAGGCTAGCCAGACCTGGCTTCACCATGGGATAGAACTGAAAGCTTAGAGAGTGGATTCGAGTCAGTTAGTACATGCAGTACCTGAAAAAGCTAGAGGAAGAGCAGGGCCTGAAGCCTGAGGACCTCTTAGAACTCAGCCTTACCTTGCAGCCAGAACCCCTCCAGCTCACAGAGGCCACTCAGGGAGAATTCCCTTCTGACCAGTCCCAAACCAGTTCATCGGGACCCAGGAAGTAACCTGTGGTCATGGGGCTATTCCAGGGAGCCCCAGTGCCCTGAGGAAGGGAAGGGTCAGGTACTAATTCTTGGGCAAATGCTGGCTATAGTATTGAGGCTCAGCGGGGTAGGAGATTTGGGGCCAGCTCTCCAAAGAAAACCTGGACAGAATGCTCAGGCAGGTCCCCATCCTGACAGCCCCACCATGAAAACCAGGAAGACCAAGTCACAGGAAGTTCAGTTAAGACCTGGATAGGCAGTTCTCTGGCTCACCTTCTCATCACTCTGGGCCTAGTCCAGCGAGGCTGGGCCACATGAGGAGGCAGGTGACCTTGCTCTGCACCTGATCATGGTCAAGCCTCTGTGGATGAGGAGGGGCTCAGAGGCTGAATAAGGATATCAACCTGAGAGTTGACAGCCTTCTCTAAGCACCCTGGAGGCACCCTATGGTACCTGTCAGGAAGTACGTCTGGGCCTGGCCAGAGAAATGGGGAGAACAGTGGTGACAGTTGCAGGAAGGAGAAGGCAGACTCAGGCTGACTGAAGGCTACTGAGAAGGGAGTTTCCAAAAGCAGGGGTATCGCCAGATGGTTCCACCCCAGGGCTTGGGCAGCAGTGAGGGGCTGCTGGCTATGGCCAAACGTCACACCTAGCACCCACTCCAGAGTGAGGGCCTCCTGTGAGCGGGTCACCATGAAGCCGTTTCTAGAAAGACCTACTTCTCACACTCCCGTCCATCTCCCTCCTTCCTTACCTCATGCAGGTGGACACCGAGAAACTACGCCAGTGTATCCGCACAGTTCTCTTCAACCAGGTCGTGATCTCTTTGCCCATGCTGGTCTTCCTCTATCCCATCCTCAAGCTGTGGGGAGACCCCTGCCACCGAGAGCTACCCACCTTCCACTGGTTCCTCCGGGAGCTGGTTATCTTCACTCTGATTGAGGAAGTCCTGTTCTACTACACACACCGGTGAGCGGGTCCCGGCCCAAGCACAGCTGGCTCCTCACTCTCCTAGGGCTCACTTTTAAGGGAGAAAACTGAGGCCTCAGAATTGTAGGTGCAACACCAACACCACCTGGCCTCAAAAGCCTCTTTTTAGTTAACATGGACACAACTGTTGGTTCCACGACTGACAACTTGAGGCAACTGAGAAATGTCCAGGAAAGAAAGAACCTTCCGCATTCATGTGTGCAGTGGGGCAGTTTCCCATTTGTTGCCTTATTGAATCCTTTGTGGGCACCATCCGTACCATCCCCACAGCTAGTACAACTGAGGTAGAGCAGCGCGAAGTAACCCACCCCCAGATTATGCAGCGTAAGAGGTGGGGTTAGAACTCGAAGGCAGGTCTGTCCAAGTGCCAATCCAGTGCGTTTGTAACTTTGCTCCATAGTCCTACCTTTGGTTTCTCACGGCCTGGTGGGAAAGGGAAAAGGGAGATTGGCAGATTATTAACTACTAACTATTTTTCCAGGCTCCTTCACCACCCAACATTCTACAAGAAAATCCACAAGAAACACCGAGTGGACAGCTCCCATTGGCCTGGTCTCTTTCTACAGCCACCCTATTGATCATGTGGTCAGTAAAACTCTCCTCCAGGCAAAGGGCAGAGGGCCCCAATCACCTTCCCTAAGGTCTCCCGCAAAGAATTAGACCACAGTGGCCCCTTCTTCCTTCTTCCCATTCAGCAGCTACCATTTATTGTTGACCTAGTCTATGTGAGATGCCCAACGTAAGTTATCTCAAACAGTAACTTGTCCCAAAGTTATAAAGTTGAATGACTCCAGCGAATCAAGGTCTTGCAACTCTTTCAGCTTCTCCAGATCTGAGTCAAGGAAGTCTTCCTGGTACCACCCTGGGGCAAAGTAGACACCCATTGGGTCCCCTCCATCTCTCTAGGGCCCACCTTCAAACAGCCCTCCCCTTGCAGGCCTCCAACATGCTGCTGATGATGGTGGGTCCCATAGTAATGGGCTCCCACTTGTCCTCTATCACCATGTGGTTCTCCTTCGCACTCATCATCACCACCATTTCCCACTCTGGCTACCACCTACCTTTCCTGCCTTCAACTGAATTCCATGACTACCACCATCTTGAGTAAGACCTCCTTCCCCACTATGGGTCCCTGGGCAATAGCCTTCACCTTACCTCCTGGAGCTTCCAGGAGCAGACATGACCCCAGCACTTCAGTTTCAATGTGCTGGTGCTAGGAGAGGGAGAGGTCTGGAGGTTGGGAGAATAATGACCATGCTGGATCCAGATCACCTTGCTCTTTTCCTTCTTCCTGACACTGGGTCTTCCTGCAGCTGTGGGTTTTTAACCTTTACTCAGGTCCAGGGCCCTTTGAGTATCTAATGTGAGCTAGGGACACTTGTCAGAACAATGCATATACACATAAAAATACTGCACACAATTCAAGGGGTTGTCCTCTCTGAAAGCCTCCAGGCTTTTGCGAGTGTGGTCTACAAACCTCCAGCACCATAATCACCTGAGATACCTTGATGAAATGCAGGTTCTTGGGTTCCACTCCAGATATGCGGAATCAAAGTGTGGGGGGCAGCAGGACTTGAAAAACTGCATTTTGGTAACTGTTCTAGGGGACTCTGATGGAGGTGGTCCCTGAACCTACCTGAACAAGCCAAGCTCGGCCACAAGTTCTGACTTGTGTGCATCGGACTCACATAGCTTTTCAAAGGGAGAGCGTAGGTTTTCAGTCCGGAGTGGCCCCAGGAATGTGTACAACTCCCTGGGATATTCTGATGGGGATGGTCAGCATGGTTGGGGATGGGTTTGGCGTAAGAAGGCTTAGAAATGTGAGGCTGGCACGAATGAAAAGAACAGCACACCAGCCTCCCGCACCTTCCTCTCTCCTCTAGGTTCAGCCAGTGCTATCGGTTGCTGGGGGTGCTGGACCACCTCCATGGGACTGACACGGTGTTTAAGCAGACCAAGGCCTATGAGAGAGACATCCTCCTGCTGCGCTTCACCCCACTGTCTGAGAGCATCCCGGATGCCCCGAAGAAGATGGAGAGAGAGGGGCGCCTGGGTGGCTCAGTGTTAAGTGTCTGCCTTCGGCTCAGGTCATGGTCCCAGGGTCCTGGGATCGAGCCCCGCATAGGGCTCGCTGCTCGGCGGGGAGTCTGCTTCTCCCTCTGACCCTCCCCCGCTCATGCTCTCTCTCATTCTTTCTCTCTCAAATAAATAAAATCTTAAAAAAAAAAAAAAATAGTGGTCTTTGTCCTTTGCTGTAGAAGGGGAGAAATGACCCCAGGCAACCTTTTTCTGGCCTAGACAAGACAGAATGCAAAGGTGGCAGCGAGATAGGAAGCTACTGCCAACTCCAGGGAGCGCTCCGGGTGCCAGGGGGTGAGGGAAACAGAAGGTATTGTTTTGCCCCTTCCTGTCCTCAAAAGCTTTTCGCATACCCTACTCTGGCCAGGGCTAGGACACCCTCATTGCCAAAACAGGTCAGCTAACAAAGGCCCCATTTCAACTCTGCCCCACTGCAAACAAACATCATCCCTCTATGAAAAGAAAAATGCCAATCACAGCTCCTCCCTGGATTAAAACTGAGATATCAAAGAGGTGCACACCAAACCCCAACACCTACTTTCAGCCATACATGGAAACATGGAAACCAAAGGCCAAACCCTGTTAACCTGCCAAGCTGGAGGCCCTTTTATCCACAGAGGGAAGGGTCAGAGTTCCTGACCTTTGGGGACACCCAACTGAGGAGGCTAGAACCCTCTTCCTCCAGTGAGAAGGCAAGAAAAACATGACTGACCGAAGGGCAAAACCCTCATTTTCCCCCAAATGATTAACTAACTTTCTCAACACCATTTATTTCAAATGAAACTTTCTCAGGAACCTTATTATCTAAAACAAAACCAGAGAGCTGCTTGGGTTGCAGCAGTCCCCAGCCTGGCCTTCCCTCAGCAGCCAGCCATCGACAGGAGCCCTGCAGCTCCCAAGGATAGTTTGAAGACCACCATTATCAGTTACTAAATTCTTGTTATATATTTGCATCTGTTCCCGAACTTTCAGCTCTGTCAAAACCATCCATTGTTTTATAAAATACCTTAATATCAAGTCTCCAAGCAGATCTAAGACTCCTTCCGTCCTATCAGCCCTACAACTCCAGACCTGCCCAGTACACCGACTAGGTGCTTACCAGACAATGTCTTCCTTGGCCTTCCAAACCCCACCCGCCCCACTCTGGCCTTGGTGGGCCTGCCCTGAGCTTAAGGTACAGCTTCTGGTGCACCAGTGGTCTAAATTGTCACAGCTGCTAACCCGCACCCACAACCTGTTCTTGTAAGTAAACACTTGGGAAATAGCCCATCTTCAGTATACTTAAAAGGGTAGGGAATGAGGAGTGTGGAGAAAGAGGAAGAACGGATGCCTTTTTTCCCGTGAGTCTTAGACTTTGAGGTACTGTAGAGGGTCAAGAGGCTGTCAGTCCCTCATCCCTTTTGGCAGCCAGGTGGCTGGGCTCTGACAGAGGGGCCAGTGAACAAGTGAGGCTTAAGAAAAGGCTGAGGTCACCAAATTCCCAACAGACCTCATGAAGGTGAAAGGGGAAGGCATGGAAAATTAACTGGTCTCTCTTTAATTCCAGTAGGTGCTTCCGTGTTTTCTCTCCATGATGTTGACTAGTTCCGATGCTCCCGATCATGTGGCATCTCTGGGAGCCATAGCAATGCAATTAATCATCAGTGGCTACTCTCACGAGCATCCCTACGAGGCTGTGGAAGTAGGGTCTGTCTTCCTGTCCCCAAATCCCTCTGCAGAAGCCCTGGTTACCACCTCCTAAACTCTCCTTCAGCCTACGGAGGCCATTGGTGGTCCTAAAGCACCTGCCCACCTGAAGAATGGTGGAATTCTTTGGAAAAACGTTTCTGATGGGATGCTCAAGTGCCAGGCATGAATGAGTTGTCAGATTGAGTAAGGAAGGCCATGCCTCACCTGTAGTTTTGTAATTCTGCATCGAGGCCAGACTAGCATTCCGAATGTTACTCCTGTCAGTGCCTGGCCTCACAGGTCAGTGAAAAGCCAGCAATAGCCCAGGGGCCAGTCATGGGTGGGGTGGGGTATATTCACCATTCCAGCCTTTCCTAGCTTCAATCCTCAGGGCTCGCTGGCTGACCTGGATTCCTCTAAGGCCACAGAGTGCTGAACCGTTAGTCCTCTACACCCCAGCGGGGACGTCTGTTCAGTGAGCGGCTGTGCTGGCCGTTCATGAGGCATCACGGCAACCTTCCTGGCTGTCTCCTTACAAGATGCCAGGCCACAGCCAGAGGATGGAAATCCCAGGAGCTGGGCAAGTGGGCAGAACCTCTCCGGAGCTGCTGGACCGGCAGCTCTCCATTCTGTGGCTCCGGCTATCGCCGCCGTGTCTCACCTAGGACACAAGGTGGATGTGAATTCAAGGCTGGCAGAAGCTCTCAAAAGCACTGAGGAATTCACCTGGATGCATTCATTAGCTGCCTCGGGAGTCTGTTCCCTAGGCAGATTCCTCACAAGCCCAATGGCAGAGCCCTGCAAAGCTTTCATGTACACATTCCGAGGGCAAGGTTCCCCTGGATCTGAGGGAACCCTAACCAGGCTCCATCCCTCAAGAGCTGTACCTCAAATGGGAGACCAGCCAGTATTTTGCCTTTTCAAGTTTTTATTTTTATACATTTTTTTGTATTAAAAAGAAAAGCATAATTACCACAAATTACAAAGGACTAAAGCAGGACTAGAATAATGAATGAATCACTTCAGCCTGGAAAGCAGATACTCTCAATAATATTAATGTTATAATACAAGCTCATTCAAGTATTTTACATTTTTTTTGTCCTTTTAAATGTGATATCCTAGCACATGGTAAAGATAATGTACTATGAGCATAAGGTGGAACCTTCTCCGCAAAGCCAGATGACAAGTTTTCCTCTCCAGTGAGAAATGGGCTATAAGTTCTGATCTTCTCTGCCTCTGCCATCAACATGGCTGCAGGAGAGCGTGGGGGCTGGGGCAAATTCAGGGACCCTTCCACACAGGACATACTTCGGGTCCCACTCACGAGGGCACCAGATGATCCAGACCACTGTACCCAGGCTTTTTGGCAAAAACCAAAACCAAAACCAAAACCCACCCCCACCCGCCCTCGCCCCTCCTCTAGTCGTCTTTCTTGCCCCTCCTCCCCACTTCCAGGGCCTTCTGAGCAGCTTGCTTTTGTAAAATCAATCAGGAAAGGGGGGGGAAAAAAAGAGCTACAATGGAACAAAACAAAAACATTAACACCTTTGACATGGGGGCTCAGCACCTGGACCTGAGCCCCGGGGATCCAGGCTGGGGCAGGGCCAGGCAGCCACTCTCTACTGGTAGTGCGTTTGCTCCCAGGGTCAGAAGAGGGCGAGAGAAACCTGCCCCTGAGCAGGGCTGAGGCACACAGACCTTGTGATGTTTGATGCCCAGAGGTCGTATTGGCGTGGACCAGTCATGGAAGGGTACAGGATGAGCAGAAGGGTTTGGGCAGGCTGCTGCTTTGTGTCTCAGGTCTTGGACCCCCACGGGAGGGTGGTGGGTGAGAAGCGGCAAGCCCCGATGGCTCTGGCCGCTCCTGGCATGCCTGTCACAGATACGTCGGTCCTAAATTCAAGTGTCTTCAGAAAGTGAAGATGTAAACTACTCTTTGCAACATTAACTCCTAACATGTTACAAAAAAAAAAAAGGGAAAAAAAAAAAACAAAACCCTCCCCCCATCCTCAGCCTGCGTTGAGATGAAGTCCTCACCTCCCACCCCGAAGGGGCTTCCTCTCTCTCGGGTGTCTGTGGGAGGATCAGAGAGGGGATGGCAGCCCCCTGGCCTGGGAGAAAACTCTAGGTGAGAAAAGCCTCTCTGCACACCCCCAAGGCTTCCTTGTGCCCCCAAACCCAGCAGAGGACAAACATTGAGGTTCTATGGTGCTGGATACAGTACAGGGCTGAGCGATCCGAAGGAAAGGGGGTAAAAAGGGAAGAAAGAGGGGGTGCAGGAGTCCGGTGTCTGGTACCACGTGGGGCAGGCACCAGACAGCAGGGAAAGGCCCAGATCCCACTTTCAGAGCAGAGACCAGACACTCATCCTTGACTCTCGAGACCAGCGGGTCACATCCGAACCACTGGGAGGGCAGAGGTAGGGAAGGGCACAGGCTGAAAGCAGAGGGCAAGCCCATGCCAGCCTGGGATACTGTCCCCTGCTCCCAGTCTTTGGGCCGACGAGTGTCAGCGGTGCAGCGACCCACCATCAGCTTCTCTGTGCCGCCCCGGCCCCGCCGGCGGTGAACGCGCCACCACGGCCGCAGCCTGCACACAGCTCAACCTGTGGGGGTCAGTCCTTCGTCACCCTCCCCAGCGTCGGGTGCCAGGAGAACTCCAGCCGTTCCATTATCACTCACAGCCCAACCCAAGCAGTCAGTGGCTGGAGGAGAGGAGTCAGGTATACTCTATGTCCACATATACCTTCCTGCCGCGGGGCTTCTCCAGCTGGCAGGATTCCCCCCAGCCCCCAAACCCTCCTCATCCCTCGTTCCCAGGCAGGGTCAATTGGAGGGTGGGCAGAGGTGGCTTGCAGAGGGGGGATGCAAGATGGGGAGACCCCACCAGACCCGAGGGAGGAGAAGGGCATCCTTCTCCACCTGTTCGGAGACAAAGCCTCCTTGAGGTCTCAGATCTTTCAGGGCAACACATTTCCAAGCCTCAGCTGCCAGGTGTTCGCCCTTCCCCTCGGAGGGGGGAGACGGTCATGCTGAGGCCAAGTGTGTCCCAGGTCCAGGCCAATGCTCTTCTTCAACAGTTTGAAGCCAACCTGGCCTTGGGGTCCCAAGGGTAGGATGAAGGGTGTCATGGCAGGACGGGGCCTGTCACGAAGCAACAGCAAGCAGAGCGAGGACACGACAGTGGCAGCAGAGTACAGACACAGGACGTCAGCTTCCAACGATGCAACAGCAGGGGTATTCCGGGCACGGCTCTCACTGGAGCCGCCCCCAACGCTCTTGCCTACAGGCAGGAGGCACTGTACATGCAACTCAGTCCAGAGAAAGATTCTAGCCAAGCCAGCCCAGGCACGTCCAGAGAAGGTGTGAGCTCTTCGAGGCGACTCCGCCGAGGAAAACAGGCATTTGGGTATTTCAGATTCCCGCTCCACAATAAGGCAACTTTTAAAAAAATATTATTTCCAAGAACAAAACAAAACAAAAAACAAAATCCAAGGGTAGGGGAAAGACATCACTTTCTGTGGATTAGGTGGGGGTTTTCGGATTTATTTTTTTGGTCTTTTATGGTCGATTTTGTCTTTTTTTTTTTTTTTTTCCCCCAAGGATGGAAAGGTCAGAGAAAAATAAAATAAATCATCTTTCAATAGTCTTTTCTGGTATGAGCAGCGTCTCTCTGGGCTGGGGAGTAAGGGGTATGGGGAGAGGGGGGTGGGGAGAGGATGAAACCTTCCCCCGCCCCCACTTCTAGATCCTTTGGTTTCCTTCTCCCAGAAGATGGCAGAAGGGCATGGTGGGGACAGCAGGGGGAGAACATGGTGATGGCAAGCCCCAGATGATCAGGGGGCTGGTGCTCGTGGGGCCCAGGGACGCTGCCAGAGCCTTCCATGGGACAGTGCTGGGCAATGGGGCCCACAGGGCCTTCTTGTGGGCTGCATAGTTGGCTTGAGGGGGAGCAGGAGGAGGCTGTGGGTGGGAACCAGGGTGGCGGCCTACCAGCCGCGGGCAGGGCTACAGAGTGATTTTGGTAATCCAGACGAACTATCAATAATTTAAAACTTGATATATATATATATATATATATATATAAAAAAAATCTCCCCCCTTTCCCTCCCCCCCTTAGAAGCTAGGATGTGAAGAAGAGTCATGGAGAGAGGAGGGGGAAGGGGGTGTGTGGAGGCTCCTGCCCAGGGGTACCTCTGATAGCCCAAATGGTGTACATGTTGCTACTCAGCACGAAGGCCCATTCTAATGACTCTAGGCCTGTCCCTTCTCTGTCCCCTCTCCTGGGACTGGGCACCCCCATGGACTTTCGCCCACCCCCTCACTACCCCCCACCAAAACCCCAGGGCTAACAGGCTTTTCACTTTCCCAAAGTCTGTGTGTCCGAGTGCTGGCTTGTCCATTTGGCATCTTCCCGGATGGGCTGGCCATTGGGTGGTGTGGGGGGTTGGCTGATCATGGTGGTGGGCCTGCTGGAAGACTGGGAGGGGCACCGCTTCCTGCCCTCGCCGCCGCCACCTCCTGCCGCCACTGGGTGTCGCTTGTGGTTGCCCTCCTCACCCATGGGGGGCTGTAACAGAGGGAGTCACAGGTGATTAGGGGCCACTACCCACACCCCCTTCCTTGCCAGGGCTCTCTGGAGACTTCCTACCCCCAAATGCAGATAATAGGTATAACCTTAAAAACAAATTACCAGTTTTATGAAGCACATCTCCGTGCCAAGATGCCCAGCCCCATGCTATTTTCTGCACATTCACTCATGAGGCTCTGCACCGCCCTTTGATGGAGACACGATCATTGCAAAAGTAAAGCACAAAGAAATAATTTGCCCAGGGTCCCATAGCTTATAACCGGTGCCGACAAAATGTGGACTCGACCCATCTACCTCTGAAGCCCAGGCCCTCACCCACACAAGTCTCTGCTCCCTTTCTGAGAAGGGACGATGCGTGGCATGTGGCATGCAGTATGCTGAGACGTCTCCACTCAGAGGGCCCAGATGCTCCTGGGGACTGCCTCATCTCCTTCTGAGCCCTAAAGAGGACTCTGACCTAAGAGTCAGACCATGATCCAGTCTGGCCTCACGGCTACCAAAGGTCCAGTGACCTCGAGGACATTTCCTTCCATTTCTGGGGGAGAAAGCTCAGCCTTCTTGTCCCACCCTCCACAGGTCTTCCTGCTACAAGGCTTCTCTGCATATGTGCCCCCCATCCGACCCCCAAGCGAGGAGGTACTCAGGGATGGACGGAAACAGATTCATCTTTATCCTGGGAGGGCTGAGCGGCACTGCCGCCATCTCACTGGGTGGCTGCGGGCTTCCATTTACCCACCGGTACAGCAAGAGCAACAATAAACCCTGCCTCCTCACCACATTACGAAGCTTAAAGGAGCTCAATATAAAGCGCCTAGCACAGTGCCTGGCATACAGGAATCACCCAATGGCAATTTCCTAACACACGTAAGGACTCTTACTGCTATCTACTTATATTTGTCTTTTTGCTAAAAGGTTTCAAGGGAACAAGATGACCAGCACAGCTCTACTACATTACAAACTCTCTGAAAGAAAGAAAGTCTCACTCATCTCTGGAGTCCCTGAAGCACTCAAAACAGACATCCATCACTCTACTGCTTCCCTGGATATGCCCAGTAGCAATAGCCCTGACCCACCACTGGATGGCACCATTGAGTCACTGCGCCAAGAAGAGAGGGCTGGCGGCGGTGATGGTGGGGTGTTAAACCTAACTCATAAACTTCTACGGTTGGAACTGGCCTCTTCCAGAAAAAGCAAGGAAAGAGAGAAAAGACCCAATTTACCTGGGTACTCATCCCAGTCAACTAGTAAGGGCTGACCAGGGCTCACCAGCAAGGAGGGGTAGGAGACAAAAGGGAGAGACCATTATGATATTCAGCTAGCTATAGGACCATGGGAAGGAGGGAGGAGCAACCATACCACCCCCTCCAATTAGCTGTCAGTGTCCACTTCTCATCCTCTATTGTACAGGTGAAGACACTAAGGACCGATAGGGGGAAAGGGTCCCTAGGCTAGTGGCACAGCTGGGACCAGAACCAGGTATCCTGATCTCTGGTCCAGTTTTCTGCCCAGGGGAGGGGTGAGAAAGATGAGAGACTTTCACTCACATCCACTCGGAAGTCTTCGAGACGTCGGAATTTGCCGAGGTATTCTTGAAGTTTGGGGTCAATGTCCAAATTTTTGGCTTTGGAATATTTCAAGAAGGCCCAGAACTTCTCCAGTCCATAGAGCTGGCCTACAGGAAAGAAGAGGCAAAGGTAGAGTGAAGGTCAGAGAGAAGCCGGACTGGTGAGGAGTTGAGAATAAAGAGGCTCAGGAGAGCAGGAGGTGGGATGTGACTGATACACAGGCAGACCCGGGTTGACCCGGGCAGGGAGAAGGGAAAGAAGACCTGGATGACCAGGCCTTGCAGAGCTCCAACTCTGGCTCTCACCAGCTTCATAGTCCTTCACTGTTTCCTCCTGAAAATCCTTGAAGATGTCCAGCCGGAACTTCTTTTCCAGGCCGTAACTGTAGTATCGAAAAAGGCACTCCAAACCATATCTGTAGAACACAAGCCAGTGATATTGGGACACAGTTTCTTTATTTGTAAAATAAGGAAATGCACCTGCATTATATATGAACTAGGAAACCGTTTAAGCACATGGATTATCAAGAAAATGGTAACTAATCTTTAAGAAGGCTAACATTTAATGCTAGTCTAAGTGTAGTCTAGCAGCTTATGATTTGCCAGGGGTCAGTAAACTCCAGCCAAATGAACAAGGGCTCCCTGCCCACACTCATTTGTTCATGAAGTGTCACTGGCTGCTTTGTGCTAGAAGAGCAGAGCTGAGTAGTTGTGACAGAGACCCCCCACCCCATGTCCTGCAAAGCCTAAAATACTTCTCATCTGTCCCTTTACAGAAAGTCTGCCAATCCTTGGGATGAGCTCTCTACAAAGTCATGTGACTGCGTCAATTAGTAGGTCTGCTTATCTGACTTCAGAAATTTTATTTCTGGGGCACCTGGGTGGCTCAGTCGGTTAAGCATCTGCCTTCAGCTCAGGTCATGATCCCAGGGTCCTGGGATCGAGCCCCGCACGGGCTCCCTGCTCAGCGGGGAGCCTGCTTCTCTCTCTCCCTCTGCCTGCTGCTGCCCCCCTGCTTGTGCTCTCTCTCTGATTGGGTGGCTCAGTTGGTTAAGCGACTGCCTTCGGCTCAGGTCATGATCCTGGAGTCCCTGGATCGAGTCCCGCATCGGGCTCTCTGCTCGGCAGG